ATCATCACATGGTGATGTCAGAGGTCTTAGGATTTTCCTGAAGGCCTCCCATATCAGTCTTCTTTCCGTCAGCATATATCCCTGGTTTTCAGTTGACAGCCAAAAAAGCAGAGATGTTCTTTATTGACTTCAAGCTTTAAAGATAGATTAATATCAGAAGTCAGAGTAAGGGAATAATAAGGGACTAGGAAAGAAAGCTTAAAAAAAAGTTGTGTTTTTAACGCAAGCATTTTCTGTCTGGAGCAAAAATGATAATGCTTTGCATAGAAAAACTTTCTAAATATACAGAGCTGTTTATCAAAACACGAAATATGTTGAAGTGCCAAGATAAACACATTCCATCCTGGTCTATTTGGGCTGAAATTGTTGAAAAAAATATTCAATGATACTTTTTTTTTTTTTTTTTTTTTTGAGACGGTCAATGATATTTGTGAAAGCATGGGAAGGAAGGCTTTATTGAAGACCATGCAATAGGCATAGGGGCCTCAGCAAAGCATCCCAATAGTGGCAAGCAGGGATTTATAGCCAAGTAGCAGGGTGAGGTCAATAGATGAAAAATTCCTAAGAGAAAACATCAAGAATAGGGGTAATTATGGCTAAACCAAACTAACAGGATTTTTGCTGAGGACAGGCCAGGGTGATCGGGCATCACTGTGGGGTGGGAGAAGATGAGAAAGCTGATAAGGTATTGAGGGTGATCTGGTATTAAGGGTGAGGGATTCTTGCTAAACTCACTTAGCAGGGTTCTTTACTGGCACTGAATTTTACAAGGAAGTGCACAGTGGGCCTAGAAGAAGGTTCAAGAGCCTACCTAAAGTTTGGCCAAGAAAAGAATTGTTACAATACTATAGACTAGGTGGCATATAAACAACAGAAATTTGGCCGGGCGCAGTGGCTTATGCCTGTAATCCCAGCACTTTGGGTGACTGAAGTCTGTGGATCACAAGGTCAGGAGTTCAAGCCCAGCCTGGTCAAGTTGGAGAAACTCCGTCTTCGCAAAAAATACAAATATTAGTTGGGTGCGGTGGCAGGTGCCTGTAATCCCAGTTACTTGGGAGTCTGAGGCAGGAAAATCACTTGAACCCAGGTGGCAGAGGTTGCAGTGAGCCAAGATTGTGCTACTGCACTCCAGCCTGGGTGATAGAGTGAGACTCTGTCTCAAAAAAACAAAACAAAACAACAACAATAACACACACACACACACATACACACACACACCCCCCAGAAGTTTAATTTTTCACAGTTCTGGAGGCTGGAAAGTTCAGGATCAGGGTACCAGCAAATGTCTGGTGAGGGTCCACTTCCTTGTTCATAGATAGCCATCTCTTCACTGTGTCTTCAAATGGCAGATGGGGCAAGACAACTCTCTGGGCCCTCTTTTATAAGGATTCTAACCCCCATTCATGAGGGTGGAGGCCTTGTGAACTAATTAGCTCCCCTAATCATACTTTACCTCCAGATACTATCATATTAAAAATTAGGTTTCAACATATGAATTTTGTTGGTAGGGAGAGAAGGAGACACAAATATTTAGTCTGTAGCACCTCAAAGCAATATAATCTTATAACCAGCATCTGAGTTGAGCTATTTTATTTTATTTTTTGCCATTGAAATGGCAAAAACCGCAATAACTCCTGCAGCAACCTTAGTTTCAGTTAGTCTGCTTAGTCCAGTTTTAGCAAGAATCCTCTTTGGGCTGGGTACAGTGGCTCATGCCTGTAATCCCAGCACTTTGAGAGCCAAGGTAGGAGAATTGCTTGAGCCCAGGAGTTTGTGAGCAGCCTGGGCATCATAGCAAGACCTCATCTCTACCAAAAATTTTAAAAATAGTGAGGTTTTGGTGGCACTTGCCTGTAGTCCCAGTCACTCAAAAGACTGAGGTATGAAAGTCACTTGAGGCTTGGGAGGTTGAGGCTGCAGTGAGCCATAATTGTACCACTGCACTCCAGCATGGGTGAGAATGAAACCCATGGAAGTTTTGAGACTTCCTCAGTCTCAAAAAGAGGAAAAAAAAAAAAAAAAGAACGCTCTTTAGTCATTTTAGTAAAAATCCCCACCCTGGATATCTGGAAACTTTTGACATCTGATCAAATTCCTCACCCTCCATGTATGATATCTTATCACTCTGGCCTGCCTTAGCAAGAATCCCTCCTAGCCTGTATTAGGCTAAGGGTTCTCTTAGAGGGACAGAACTAATAGGATGTGTGTATACGTATATGTGTATATATGTTGGGGAGTTTTGTAAGTATTAATTTACATGATCACAAGGTCCCGCAATAGGCTGTCCGTGAGCTGAGGAGCAAGGAGAACCAGTCCGAGTCCCAAAACTGAAGAACTTAGAGTCCGACATTGGAGGGCAGAAAGCATCCAGCATGGGAGAAAGATGTAGGCTAGGAGGTAGAGCCATCTCTCTTTTTTCACGTTTTTCTGCCTGCTTTATATTCTCTGGAAGCTGGTTAGATTGTGCCCACCAGAAGATGAGTGGATCTGTCTTCCCCAACCCACTGACTCCAATGTTAATCTCTTTTGGTAACACTCACATAGACATACCTGAGGTCAATATCTTGTATCTTTCAATCCAATCAAGTTGACAATCAGTATTAACCATCACATAACCCTGATATTTTCTTTTAGTAATTTTCCAACCACTGACCCCATCCTGCTCCTTGGCTTTAAATCCCCACTAGTCCTTGTATTCAGAGTTGAGCCTGATCTTTCTCTCCTACTGCAAATTCCCCACTACAAGAAGCAGTACTTCTTGTATAAGGCCTTCCTTACTGTCTTTAACAAGTATATTAGGCCATTCTTGCATTGCTATTAAGAAATACCCACGACTGGGTAATATATATAAAAAAAGTTTAATTGGCTCACAGTTCTACAGGCTGTACAGGAAGCCTAACATCAGCATCTACTTCTGGGGAGGCCTCAGGAAGCTTACAATCATGGAAAAAGGTGAGGGGGGAACAGGCATCCTACATGGTAAGAGCAGGAACAAGCAAGGTAAGGAGAGGTGCCACGTACTCTTCAATGACCAGATTTTTTGAAAACTCACTTCATGAAGACTGCACCAAGCCATGAGGAATCTGCCCCCATGACCTAAATACCTCTCACCGAGTCCCACCACCAGCATTGGGGATTACAATTCAACCTTAAATTTGGGCAGGGACAAATAACTGAACTTTATCATTCTGCCCCTGGCCCAAAATCTAATGTCCACCTCGCTTTGCAAAATACAATCATGCCTTTCTAGCAGTCTCCCACTCATTCCAGCATTAACTCAAAAGTCCAGAATCTCATCTGAGGCAAAGCAAGTTCCTTCCATGTGTGAACTATAAAATAAAAAACAAGTTAGTTACTTCCAAGATACAACAGAGGTATAGGCATTGGATAAACATCCCTGTTCGAAAAGGGAGAAATCAGCCAAAAGAAAGGGGCTACAGGCCTCATATAAGCTTAAAACCTAGCAGGGCAGTCAGTAAATTTTAGAGCTCCAAAAATGATCTCCTTTGACTTCATGTCCCACATCTAGGACACACCGGTATAAGGGGTGGGATCCCAAGGCCTTGGGTAGCTCCACTCCTGTGGCTTTGCAGGATCTAGCCCCCACAGCTGTTCTCACAGGTTGTGGAGAGCCAGTGGCTTTTCTAGGTACAGGGTGCAAGCTACCAGTGGCTCTACTACTCTGGGGTCTGGAGGACAGTGGTCCTCTTCTCACAGTATCACTAGATAGTACCCCAGTGTAAGCTCTGTGTTGGGCTTCCAACCCCACATTTCCCCTTGATACTGTCCTAGGAAAGGTTCTCTGTGAGGGCTCTGCCCCTACAGTAGGCTTCTGTCTGGACACTCATTTTTTGAGACAGGGTCTCACTCTGTTGCCCAGGCTGGAGTGCAGTGGCATGATCAGGGCTCACTGTGGCCTCAAACTCCCAGGCTCAGCCAATCTTCCCATCTCAGCCTCCTCAGTGGCTGGGACTACAGGCATGTGCTACCATGCCTGGCTAATTTTTATATTGTTTGTAGAGATGGGGTTTTGCCATGTTGACCAGGCTGGTCTTGAACTCCTAGGCTCAAGTGATCCACCTACCTTGGCTTCCCAAAGTACTAGGATTACAGATGTGAGCCACCATGCCTAGCCACCCAGGCATTTTCATATATTCTCTGAAATCCAGGCAGAGGCTGTCAAGCCTCAACTCTTGTACTCTGTGCACCTATGGGCTTAACATCATGTAGAAGCCACCAGCGCTTATGGCTTGCACCCTCTGGAGCTGTGGCCTGAGCTGTATCTGGGCCCCTTTGAGTCCTGGCTAGAGCTTGAGTAGGTGGGATGTGGAAAGCAGCGTCCAGGGCTGCACAGGGATCTCACCCCATTCTTTCTTCCTAAGCCTCTGTGCCTCTAATGGAATGGGCTGCCTCAAATGTCTCTGAAATGTCCTCAAGGACTTTCCCCCACTGTCTTGGATATTAGCACTTAGTTCCCTTTAGGTTATGCAAATACCTCCAGCAAATGGTTACTCCACAGCTCACTTGAATTCCTCTCCTGAAAAAGCCTTTTCTTTCTCTACCACATGGGCAGGTTAATAATTTTCCAAACATTTATGCTCTGCTTCCTGCTTAAATGTAAATTCTAAATTTGAGTTATTTCTTTGCTCCCACATTTGAATGTAGGCTGTTAGGAGTAGCCAGGCCACTTCTTCTTTTTTTTTTTTTTCCAACATGGAGTCTCACTCTTGTTGCCCAAGCTGGAGTACAATGGCATGATCTTGGCTCACTGCAACCTCTGCCTCCCAGGTTCAAGTGATTCTCCTGCCTCAGCCTCCTGAGTAGCTGGGATTACAGGTGCGTGCCACCACACCCAGCTAACTTTTTGTAATTTTAGTAAAGATGGGGTTTCACTGTGTTGGTCAGTCTGGTCTGGAACTGCTGACCTCAGGTGATCCACCCACCTCGACTCCCAAAGTGCTGGGATTATAGGCGTGAACCACCGCTCCCAGCTGCCAGGTCACATTTTGAATGCTTTGCTGTGTAGAAATTTTTTCTGCCAGATACCTAAATCATCACTCTCACGTTCAAACTTTCACAGAACCTAGGGAAATAGCACAATGCAGCCAAGTTCTTTGCTAAGGCATAACATGTGTGAACTTTGCTCCAGTTCCTAAGTTTGACATTTCCATCTAAGACCTCGTCAACCTGGTCTTCACTGTCCATATCACTATCAGCATTTTGGTACCAACCATTTAACCACTCTCTAGGAAATTACAAGATTTTCCTCATTTTCTTGACTTCTTCCGAGCCCTCCAAACTGTTCCAACCTCCGCCCATTACCCAGTTCCAAAGCTGCGTCCACATTTTCAGGTATCTTTATAGCAACACCTTTCTCCTTGGTACCGATTTTCTGTGTTAGGGTGTTCTTGCATTGCTATAAAGAAATACCTGAGACTGGGTAATTTATAAAGAAAAGGGGGCCGGGCATGGTGGCTCATGCCTGTAATTCAAGCACTTTGGAGGCCAAGGTGGGTGGATCACCTGAGGTCGGGAGTTCAAGTCCAGCCTGACCAACATGGTGACACCCCATCTTATTTTTTTAAAAAAAAGAAAAAAAAGGAAAGGGGTTTAATTGGTTCATGGTTTTGCAGGCTATACAGGCAACTTGGAACTGGTATCTGCTTGGTTTCTGGAAAGGCCGCAGGGAGTTTTACTCATGGCAGAAGGTGAAGGGGAGTAGGACTCTCATGTGGCAGACCAGTAACAAGAGAGAGAGGGTGGGGAATGTGTCACACACTTTCAAATGACCAGGTCTCACTAGAACTCACTATTGTGAAGACAGCACCAAGCCATGAGGGATCTACCCCCATGACCCAAACACTACTGGGCCTCACATCCAGCATTGGGGATTATAATTCAACATGAGATGTGGGTGGGAACAAATATCCAAATCCAAATTATATCAATAAGTGTCATAAATCATTTGTTTCTGAACACATGATTCCTTCTCAATCTTTTAGCTGTAGCTGAGCTAGCCTTCTTCTGCCTGAATGCCTTTGCATAGGCTGTTTATTTGCCAGTGACTTTGTTCTCCTAGACAACTACTATTGCTCTTCAAACTAAGCAACATTTTCTTAGGGAAATATTCCCTGAATCCCAAGGCTGTTTAGCTCTCATGCTAGATATTCCATCACACCACTTCTTTTTTGTTTTGGAGACAGAGTTTCATTCTTGTTGCCCAGGCTGGAGTGGAGTGGCACAACCTCAGCCTCTGGGATTCAAGTGATTCTCCTGCCTCAGCCTCCCAAGTAGGTGAGATTACAAGCGCTAGCTACCATGCTCTGCTAATTTTTGTATTTTTAGTAGAGATGGGGTTCCACCATGTTGGCCAGGCTGGTCTTGAACTCCTGACCTCAGGTGATCTACCCGCCTCAGCCTCCCATAATGCTAGGATTATAGATGTGAGCCACTCCACCTGGCTTCTTTACTTTTTAACACTCTTCACATTTGTAATTTCTCGGCCATTGTAAACTCTGTAAAGAGGAAGGCAATGTAATCGCTGTTTCTACTGTGTCCCAAACACCTAGTCTTGACTGTCACATAGTAAACACTCAGATATTAGTTGAAGATATGAGTGAACACACACACAACACCAAGAAATTAAATTTTTTTTCCTTCAGACCTTGTGAATAAGAAGTACAACAAATTTTAACAAAAAACATATACAAAGAATGTAGTTTGTTTATTATGTTTAATTTTTACATTCACTTGTAATTTTATTATGGTATTATAGAAATCAAAGATTGACAATATTTTTTATCAATTGCCATTTTGTCGTTGTATTAAACCATAATTTGTCAAAAGAAAGATCTTCACACTTAACAAATACTGCAAAACATTAACGATGGCACTGAATTCCCAGTTCATCAGTAGGCTACAAAAGAGAATATGTTCACTTTTCAAAAAAACAACAAAATGACCAGGTGCAGCAGCTCACACCGGTAATCCCAGCACTTTGGGAGGCTGAGGCAGGTGGATCATCTGAGGTCAGACATTCTAGACCAACCTGGCCAACATGGTGAAACCCTGTCTCTACTGAAAATACAAAAATTACCGGGCGTGGTAGTGTATGCCTGCAGTCCTAGCTACTCGGGAGGCTGAGGCAGGAGAACTGCTTGAACCCAGGAGGCAGAGGTTGCAGTGAGCTGAGATTGTGCCACTGCATTCCAACGTGGCTGATAGAGTGAGACCCCTCCTCAAAAAAAAAAAAAAAAAAAAAAAAAAAAAAGAAAGAAAGAAAAAGAAAATCAAATCAAGCAACAGACCTGGCCATGTGCAGTGGCTAATGCCTATGATCCCAACACTTTGGGAGGCTGAAGTGGGAGGTTCACTTGGGGCCAGATTTCCAGACTACCCTGGGCAGCAAAGTGAGACCCTGCCTCATAAAAACAAAACGTAATGAAAAGTGACAAATCAAACCTCAAGCCAGAACATCATATTGTGTGTGAGTTGACAGTGTTTTTTTGTTTTCTCCAGAATCTTTATTAGCAAAGTTGCAGGAGGACCAAAAAAAAAAAAAAAAAAAATCTTAGAAGACAAAAGTAGTTTAAGCACTTTTTTTTCTTTTTGTGGAACTTCTAGTCATTATTGGCATTCTAGAGAAATTAATAGTTGTTTTGGCTTTTAAAGCTTTTTTAAAGTACTTAAAAATTGACTGAAGGCTAGAGGAAGGGGCTAAGCTGTAGTTTTCTGTACCAGCAGAAACCATAGGAAATTCCCTTTTGAAAACAGTAGCTGCAGGTTTATCCAAAGGCTTAGGACTTGTCACCCATTCACGGCAGTGGTGCTTTATCCATGCTAGTAACTGTACATCACTTCCCAGCTGGTGTCCTACATGATGTTCAGAGTCAATAAGTGCAACAGCATATACTTTGCTCATCACTTCCCACCTTCTACGAACAAGCAAGTCCATAAAAACCAAGCCTCCATAACCGTGTACAATGAAGGCAATGTCCTTGCCTTCAGTCTTTGAAATGAAGTAATCCCATATGTAAGCCATGTGTTCTTCAGGGGTGTTGCTGCATCTTTTTGGAATACATTTGGGACGCTGGAGAGAGAAAAAGCTCCCACCTTGAACAATTTTTAGAGAAGACGACTCAATATTTTGTGTTAAAAGGCCTTTCCACTCTTTTTCCATCTTTAGTTCCACAAAATTATCATTGGGGTTTAGCACAATTACATCATAATGTGCCTGCAATGCCATTTGAATACATGGTATCTGACTTCCATGTTGGAGACCATGATGTATTATTGCCTGCTGACTCCACTGACCAGCTCGAAAGACCCCCTGGTCTTGAAGAAGGACAAGAAGAGCAGAATGCTGGTTTGTTAATGCTTTCTCGCTCATGAAAAAGAAGCTTCTTTGTTCTTCTTCATCAGCCTCAGGTGGGATATAAACTTTTCCTAATTTGCACACTTTCTCCAAAAGCTCATAAATGTATTGTTCAAGCAAATGGCCAAGGTCCTGGTACCGCTTGCTATTTTTCTCAAAGACATTTCCATAATGGTTAAAGACAAAAGGTCTTTGAGTCTCGGTGTGTCTGAATTCAGCTTTTTCATTGAAGTCATATTTAAGTTCTCCTAGTAAGTCAGATTGTTCAATAAATTTTTGGAAGCTCAGCTCCTGTGTCATTGGTAACCACTGAAAGTTAAAAGAGTAATAGTTTATCAGTGCTAGAAAAAGTAAAATCAAAATTTCAGCCTCCCAAATTCTTCCAATGGCACATGATGCTAAATTAAGCATGTCAGAAAGACATTAACCTTCAAACTATGGTAAAGATATTAATTTGAAATAATTGTGAATGATACAGAGTAGTGAGAGACAGAATATATGAAAGGACAAAGGAGAGACCATATGTAAATGATGGTCAAAAAATGATTTTTTGAAACACAACCTGCACCAACCTGCCCAGGAAGCCAACCCCTCATTTACAATAAACAACACAGGAAGTCAGTCTGGTATAAGTCAGACTGGCAGGAAACCAGATTTCTATTGCTAGTGACAATCCAGGAAACTAAGCAGTAATAACAATTGGCTCCAAATGGCGAGAACTTCATTAATAACTGACAGCTTTCCTAATTTTGTCCCTATTTCCAACTTGGGATCAACCAGAGAGAGCCAAATATGCACCCCTAAACAATCACATAAGATGTCCCCATTTCTAGTTAGCCCACCCACAGCTTCCCCATGACAACTTGTAATCAGGACAAATGTGAAGTCTTCTTTTTCCCCACTAGAAAGCTCTCCCACTCTTCCACCTGCCTTGAGTCTCTGCCAAAATGCAAGTGATAGTGGTGCACTCCCTTGCTACAGCAGGCTCAGAATAAACAGGCTTTTCTCATTTGGTTGGCGTTCATTTATTTTGACAGAAGATATTTAATAACTTTTGCTGTTAAATGAATGGCAGAAGATAGAAGTGGGAGTGAAATGTGAATCAGCCAATGAAGATTATGATGGATTCAATGAATACTAGAAGATACAGTTATTCTGATATATGAGAAAGAAAAAAAAATAGGCTGGATGAAAAGTTAACTCAGAAATGTAGTTGCTGTAAGTAGAGCTTAAAGGGGAAAATAGGCTTTGAAAGGTTAAGTGGCTTGCCCTAAAACTAAAAAACTATTAAAGGGGCCGGGTGTGGTGGCTCACGCCTGTAATTCCAGCACTTTGGGAGGCCAAGGCGGTGGATCACGAGGTCAAGAGATCGAGACCATCCTGGCCAACATGGTGAAACCCTGTCTCTACTAAAAATACAAAAAAACTAGCTGGGCATGGTGGGGCACGCCTGTTGTCCCAGCTACTTGGGAGGCTGAGGCAGGAGAATTGCTTGAACCGGGAGGCGGAGGTTGCAGTAAGCCGAGGTTGCAACACTGCACTCCAGCCTGGTGCCTGGTGACAAAGTGAGACTCTGTCTCAAAAACAAAAACAAAAAACCTATTAAAGGAATGATTGGGTATCAGGCTGACTCTCAAATGCAAATTCTTAACAAATATGTTAACATTCTCCCTTCTTAATTTTTTTTTTTCCTGTATTTTTAGTAGAGACGGGGTTTCACCATGTTGGCCAGGCTGGTCTCGAACTCCTGACCTTGTGATCCACCTGCCTTGGCCTCCTAAAGTGCTGGGATTACAGGCGTGAGCCACCATGCCCCGCCCTTCTTAATTTCCTAACAGTGACACTGGCAACCTACAACCCACTTCCAATAAGTAGCACTCAAAATGATTTCCAGTGCAACTCAAGTTGCTATTAGGCCTAAGGCAAAATTAAAGTGCTGCTTGCTTGGATGTCTTAAATCTTTTTTAATTTTTAAATTAAAATTCCCCCCCCCCGTTCAATAAGCTGGTCCAGGATTTCTTAACTCTTTTCTCACTTTGTGAATCTTCTTCTCTGACCCCTCTAACCCAACAGCTACTTTATCAAGGTTTTTGGTTGTCCAAAAGCACCTAGCCATACTGCTCTCTATTCCTTCCCTTTCCATTAAAAATGTTTCCAGTTTTTGCTGATCTCAGGTGTTATTTTTGAGAAACAGAGTCTGACTCTGTCACCCAGGATGGTGTGTGATGGTGTGATCACAGCTCACTGTAGCCTTGACCTTCTGATCTCAAGGAATCCTCCCACCTCAGCCTTCCAAGTAGCTAGGACTACAGGCAGATGCCACCATGCCTGGCTAATTAAAAAAAAAATTTTTTTTTTTTTTTAGAGACTGGATCTCACTATGTTGACTAGGCTGGTCTGAAACTCCTGGGCTCAAGTGAGCCTCCTGCCTTGGCCTTCCAAAGTGCTGGGTCTACAGGTGTGAGTCACCATGTCCAGACTCTCTCTCAGATGTTATTAAGTAATTAATTTACTTTTTCTAAAGTGTAAATAACGGACAAACTTAAACATCCTTTAAAAAAAAAAGGCCTTGCAAATGGATGCAATGCATGACAAAAATCTGTGCTTCAAAAATCTAACAACGTTTTACAATTGAGGTCATGGTGAAACAATCTTAATGGGATGTCACAACCCTGTTTAAACTTTTCAGTGGTGATGTTTGTTGACTTCTTGTTGCCAGACTGGCATGAAAAAATCCTGGAAGTTGCTACTCAGTCCTAACAACAAGTAAAAAGCTAGATCTTCATAAGATCCATAGAAGAAGTAAGCCAAAATTGGAGGGACGGAATGCAGGTGAATGTAGAGAATCACAACTTACCAGAGCAGAAACTAGCTACTCACACCTCCAATGGAACCGGTACCAGCTCAGTGTGGACAAGTCAGAGAGACTTAGCCATCCCCTCTTCTCCACTCCCCAGTTTTTTGTAGGCTCCTGGAGCTCTCACAGGTCCTCACGGTGACTATTCATGCTTCTAGCAGTGGGTGGGGAAAAGGAACCATTTTGAAATACGTCAGAGCGTTTTGTTCTTCTTAACAAGGTCTGCCCTAAGGAGAAACTATTTAATCAGAGGCTAACCTGCTGGGGTTTTATCAGAGCCTAACTGACTTCGGGTGAGGGAAATACCCAGCTCCAGCCCACTCTTGCTATCCTGCTTAACCTAAAGGGGGTTGGAGCGAACTGAGACCTGTGAAGTTCACAGTCTAGATGCACAGGCTTACTAAAATTCTCAATGGTCTCCCTTTTCACTCAGAATAAAAATTAAGTTCTTACCATGGCCTACAAGGTCTCACCTGGTCCTTGGCTCTCCAGTGTCATTTGCTTCCACTCTCTCACTGGCTTACTCATCCAGTTACGTGAGCTGGGTCTTTGCTCCTTCTCAGGTGTCATTTCCTACCAAAGGCTTACTTCACCGTAGTCACACCTGATCTACTTTGCCATCAATTTGTGGAGAAGCTCCTGTTTTAAGGGTATTCGCTTATGCCGTGGCCACAACCTAGAATATTCTTTCCCTTTATAGATATCTACAGGGCTTTTAAAGTTTCTGCCCACTCTTTATCTCATCAGAGTGATTCTCTTTGAGCAGTCCATCTGCAAGAGCAACTCTCTCCCTTTCTTTTTTTTTAAGCACTTATTTCCAACTGACATGTATTTGCTTATTGTCTACTTCTCTCCATTAGAATGTCAGTGCCATGATAGCAGGAACAGGGACTTGGTTTTGTTCACTCCTCTATCTCTAGTTCTTGGAATATTGTCTGGTGCACAGTAGGCACTTAAATATTGTTAGAATTTTACAATTTTTTGCCAAAGAAAGCACACTTCAAAAGTCCTCTAGCAATATATTGACACATAAGATGAACACAAGGCTTTGAAAAATTAGAGGTTTCTTCTATACTTCTAAATTTAATAAATGTCAAAGGTTTATGAATTATTCTTAGAGAATATCCCACACATCAATTTATCTATATATACTTTGTCTTTTGCAAATCAAGATAAACCATCTCTCTCAAGCAAATTCAACATAATTCAAAAATAAAGAGGGAAAGAATCGAAATATTATTATGCTTAATTTCCCAAAGAATGGATTAGAATAAGATAGCATAGAGGAGGAAAAATAATTTTTTCCTTAATCTGAATTCTTAGTTGGGATGAACCCTTGTAACAAGAGAAAAACAAAGAAGTTTGTTAATGCATGGAGTGCACATGTCTAAGAGAAACCTAAATGAAAAGTAACTCATTTTTAGAAGATACTACAGGCATGCGCCACCAAGCTTAGCTAGTTTTAAATTTTTTTATAGCGAGGAGGTCTCACTATATCGCCCAGGCTGGTATCAAACCCCTGGGTTAAGTTCTTTAGTTAAAAAAGTTGATTTGTGAGGAAACTGAAAATTCAATTATTTTTCAGTAAGCAATGTTTTTATTAAACAGAAATTAACCAAATAAATATCCTTGCTGAACTTCAATCCCAGCAAGCCATAAAGTATTTCTGCCTTGCAGTCATTCCTGCCATGTAAAACACTTCCCTAAGCCCAATACCCCACAACACCTGGGGCCTTACCTCTACCTGGGCACTGACCACATTATAAATAAAGGCTTGACTGCTCTAGTGGACAAGTGAGTTGGGCTGATCCCTTTATTGACTGTTACGGTTTGATTCCCAAGCCAGCCCTTTTATACCCCCATCTCCCATCCTATTTCTAGATTCCCTTCGGTCTTGGAACATGCCAGAAACATTTTTCCTCCTTAGAGCACTGTGCTGAATTTTGTTAAACTTGTGATTAAATCGTCATGAAATCTTACACGTTGATTTAAAAATTATTCAGATATGTACCATTATGGCTAAACAGGCTAATAGCACCGGGCGTGGAGCTCACCGAGGACTAGCTTAGTCCCTTAAGTATGGTGATAAATGTTAATTGAACGAATTCCAGTTTATAGAGTCCGACTTTGTCATCTCAGCATTTAAGTTATTGAAAAATCAAGCTTTAATTTTAAGGAACTTTAAAAATGATGAGTTTGAATTTTAAAAAGAAATCCTGTTTTTCCTCGTCAGCTGACTTATTTCTGCTCCAAATGCTAAACGAATAGCTAGGCTTTTATTAGGTGACTTTGCCATCTTAAAATCTTTTTGTTTCTGAGTTAGAGGAAGCACCTTGGTGACAAATGTGTTAAGAGTCTGTGAGGAACGCAATACTGCAAACGCGAACCTGTTGTTTTCATAGTTATTTGGCCACCTCGCGAGATCCAGCGAACCGGTAGGAGTTCCTGTTTTCCCCTTTTAATTTTTGTCAATCTAATCTTTCAAGTCAACAAAGCTAAATTCGCGCACCCAGGTGGTTCCCATCCCCAGAGGGGCTCAGATCATGAAATAAACGCCACTGAAAAAACGCTGGATGAAGCGGCCCACAGAGAAAGTCCCAGGAAGTGATTTCCGGTTGAAGGTGGGAGGAGCGGCTGATTACCGGTCAAAGGGCTGGCGACGGCCCTGGCGCAGGCGCGTTTCGCACTTTACAGGCTTTTATTTTTTTCCCTTTCCCCTCCCCCTCCCTCCTCCAAGCCGTAGGGGTCTTGAGGTGACAGCGCCTGCAACTGAGATTTCAGCAGCAGGAAAAGATGGAGAAGAGGAAGCTCGGGCGACGGCCATCTTCATCCGGTGAGAAAGGGTCGGAGGAGGGTTGAGCATATCGTCTCCTACCCCGGGCGAACGGGAGGCGCAGGCGGCCGCTGGGGTTGCGGCCCGGAGCCGCGAGGGCGAGGGCGAGGGCGAGGGCGAGGGCGGGGGCGGGGGCGGGGAGAGGAGGGGGCGAGCACAAAGGAAGCCTCCTGGGTCGCCCCCGCCCCTCGAGTCGAAGACCAGGTCCGAGCTGTCATCGAAGCCTAGGCCGCTCTTCACCTCAAAACCCCTTTCATTTTTTTCCCTCCTCCCGTGGACCCCCTCCTTGAGTCTCATCGGCCCACGGATCTTCCCGGTTGGCTTGCCACTCTCTGCCACGCCTTCCTCGTAATTCCACCAATGTTCCAGTTTCATTTCGGCTTCTCGGCGCCTGACCCCACTTTCCTCTCTTCCTTTGATTCTCGACTTTGCGTCCCTTCCCCTCTCCCTCCCCTTTCCCTCGGCCTCTAGCTGCTGCTGGTGAAGGACAGGTGGGGCTCGCGAACGGGACGGGACGCCTTTTCTTTGACCGATGCCCCGCCGGGTCTCGTTCTGCTCCACAGGCCCGCCTAATAGCCTTTTTCTTTTCCAGCCTCCTCTGCGTCTTCCCAAAGTGATTGGAAAGTCGAACAAAGGATTCGAAGCCGTGCTTTCGTTGTGTTTTTATTTTCAGCATATTTTTGTTTTGGAAATTACTTTATTTTGTTTTAAATGGTTACCTTCAGTTTTGTGTACAACGCCTTGGAAACAAGAAAGTCGAGTTAAAAAGACGTGAGGTAGAGCTCCTCCCAGTCGACAAGTTTTTGTCAAACATTTCATCCATTAAGGGGTCCTCAAGTCCTTGTGTTAAGTCCTATGGATGGGAGGGGGAGAGGGTGAGGACTCTCCTGCTTACAGTGCAGTACACAAGCTAACACCCAATGAATCAATTATTTCATTTCATTTTTCTGTTTCTCACGGTGCCGTTGATTTCTGCAGAGACAGTGTTAACAATTCCAGTTTCATTTAGGAGTGCCCTGCGGCAGTGCGTCTCAAACTTCTTTCAGCCTTCACTGCAAAGGAGAGTGATTCTGGATCGCTGGGGACACTGCTTGAAGCAGTTAAAAACATGAAATCCCTTTTCATAGGCAACCAATATTATCGATGTTTTTGGTGTGTATTCTGGAGATAACAGTTTTTTCCTTTGAAAGCACATGTATAAATGATATACGTGTATATTTATATACATATATGTATGTATATGCCTCCAGCTGATGAGTGTTTAATGATCTCCATCCCCCACCAAACCTCTAAGTAAAATGGACACTTTAGGAATGCACGATGCTTAGCTGGTGTCTTTTGCGTGCTTCCTAACACAGAACTTCAGGTATAGTCATATCTTCGTTTAAGATGCACAATTAAAGAAATGCATTTGATCTAGGTTTAATACATTTTTGGGGAGGCAAGGCGAGATGTTTGCCTCGGACTTCAAGTCACATCCCCTTGATCTGATTACACTTAGATTTATTTATGTAGCACAGTAACTTGATGTCAGTAGTCGTGAGGAGTGAATTTTGATAATAAAGCTTTTAATCCTTAAAAGACATTGACATTTATGTTAGTTATATCTCTGTTTATTTCTTGTTTTGTTTTCTTTTTCTCATGATCTCTCTTTTGGAGCTGCCCTTTCTGAAAAGGCAGGTATCATCAAATCCATTCTCAGTTCTAATGTTACCTGGCTGTTTTCCCCAGTATGCCTCTGGATTTAAGATGTGCACAAATTAATTTTTAAGTACGCTTCTGCTTTTCCTTTTGTTCTTGTTTTTTTTTTTAAATTTTATAATTTAGATTTTAGGTCTTCACTGCCTCTTATGCTTTTCTTAATAGTGTATGTTTAACTTCCGGATATAAATTCTCAGAAATAAAACATGATCCGTTGGTTGATTCTGTGTAATGGTTGTATGCATGCAGTTGCCATTTCATTGGAAGTTATTGCTAACTGGAACCCAAGTGAAGTGACTTTTTTTTTTTTTTTTTAGATGGAGTCTTGCTCTGTTGCCCAGACTGGAGCACAGTGGCATGATCTCTGCTCACTGCAACCTCCTACTTCCAGGTTCAAGTGATTCTCCTGCCTCAGCCTCCCAAGTAGCTGGGATTACAGGCATCCGTCATGACACTTGATTAATTTTTGTATTTTTAGTAGAGATGGGGTTTCACCATGTTGGCCAGGCTAGTCTCAGACTCTTGACCCTGGGTGATACACCTGCCTTGGCCTCCCAAAGTGCTGGAATTACAGGCCTGAGCCACTGCACCCGGCCATGAAGTGACATTTATAGTCATCAAAGTTTCCTAAGTACACAGAAGAGTTTGATTAATAAAACAGGAAGAAGAGGTAGAAGGAAGGTGGGTAGCAGTAGAGAGAAAATAAAATACAAAATTTGAAGTTTTTTCTGTGAGACTACATTAGTCTGCCCTAAACCTTCTCCTAAACAAGAAAGAACTGTAAAATGTTCGCAGTGTATTATTGCTCAGAACTTTTCCAATTGCAAGTAGCAGAAACCCAATTCCAGCTGGTGTAAACTAAATACATGTATTTGTAACTCGCATAACTGATAACTATAATATACCAAAAGCAGTATATTATGGTCATACATTTTAAAAAATGACTGGCATCCGAGACAGGTTCACTGAAGTTGAATGAAATAATAAAGAGTGTGGGAGCAAGGGAGAATGACCATTAAAAGTGATTAACAACAAAAATATAACACAACTATGTTAGAACCATAGACTGTAATTTTCAAATGAATTTTTGAATCAAAACAGGAAACTTCAGGTAAATTTGAAAGCATTTGCAGCTGATTGCTTCAGGCAACATTCTTGGAGACCTGTGTCTTCTCATTTGTAGTTAATGATATAGGACTGATCAGACTGACATTTGGCGGGCATCATTGGGGGAGGGGAAGGATACATATGTTCTTTAAGTACTTAGGCACTAGGCATTGTGAACTTTACAAACCTCAATATTTACAAAAGCCTTGTAATTGTTTTTCACTTGCAGAAGAGAAAAGTGGGATTTAGTGGCAGGATAAAGATTAGTAGTAGCTAGTAAGAAACAGCGTTAGAATTCAATATGTGGTCTCTAATTACATAATCTATAGTTTTAACTTTGTTTACTGCTACAGGACATTAATTGGACTTACTTAAAAAAGGTTCCATGGACAAATAAATGTGATAATTGTGGTTAGAAAATTTTCTTCACTGCAAGAATTTTTCAGAGCCTTTGATGTGCTGCTATACATTGTACCTCTCCAAGAGAATGAGCATGCAGAGTTTATCAAATGTGCTTGCTTTTGAAACTCTCCTTCTTCCCCAGTTTCTTATTTATTTATTTATTTATTTTTTGTTTTTACTTTTTTTTTTTTGCCAAACAGTTTGAGCTTATGAGGTTGCTCAGGTTAGCCTTGAACTGATCACCTTGCCTTTGCGAGCACCATGACCTCCGGCAGGAGCCACTTTGGACCCCTTTACTTTTTTTGTGTGTGTTTCCTTCCCCAGTTTCATCTTCAGGCACTAGAGTCCCTGATGGTATACCTTTCTTAAATGTTTTAGTAGGTCCAGGTGATGTCTGCTTTGCCTTGGACGTGTAATGAACGATAATTGAGGCTCAAGATGAGAACTTACAATTAGTTATGATAAAGCTGCATTATTTGCAGAGATCTTAGTTGAAGTCATTGGAATGAATGGAAATGCCCACAGAAATAGTATAGAGTGAGAAAGGCCTTTTTTTTCTGTTTTCTTTTATTATTTAAAACTTGTTTAAAGCTACTGCAAATCAAAGAGTGAGGAAGGTCTTAAATTACATACAACTAATTTCATTTTCATTTTTTTTTTTTGGGATGGAGTTTTGCTTTTGTTGTGCAAACTGGAGTGCAATGGTGCCATCTCAGCTCACTGCAACCCCCGCCTCCCAAGTTCAGGTGATTCTTCTGCCTCAGACTCCCGGGTAGCTGGGATTACAGGTGCATGCCACCATGCCTGGCTAATTTTTTTGTATTTTTAGTAGAAATGGGGTTTTTACCATGTTAGCCAGTATGGTCTCGATCTCTTGACCTTGTGAACTCCCTGCCTTGGCCTCCCAGAGTGCTGGGTTTACAGATGTGAGCCCACTGCTGGGAATGTATCCTATTTATAGTAATTTTAGAGGAGGAATTATTGCAATAAAGTTAGAATATGGTGAGGAAGGAGATTTTTTTTTTTTCTCCCCTCCCCACAGGAAACAATGGGGATTGTTAACCTCTACTTCTATTTTACAAGTGGGAGAGTTTTAACAAAGTAGTATAGTTACTAAAAAGCTGACATTCAGTTAACCTAACGTGGAGGAGAAGTTCAAGGAAAATATCTAAAATTTAAGGAAGCTGTATTGACTTAGGAAAAGAATTTAGTGGACTAAGGAAGAGATGGAGAAGATGTAGATGAGAGGGTAGAATTGAATTATTTGAAGTGAGATAATAGGAAGGTGATAGGCGATAGCGATTGACATCTTGGTGGTGATTCCTAGGCCTGATGATGGAAGGCAGAGGATTGAAAAGTAGATTAAGGGGGTGTGTGAACACAGAGGATGCATTATGAATAAGACTGAGTAGCTCCAAAGATCCAGACTAGAATTCTGGTGTAATGCCTTCCTGATGAATAACTTTCATTTGGGTTTTCATTAATTTATGAGTCTGACTGATGTGGGCTGTTTCATCCTAGTTTATGTGTGATTGTATTGGTAACTCACCCTTGGGTTGTGCCTGGCTTCCCTCATTTCTGCTGATCTAAACCTTATTTATTCTTCAAAGCCCAGTTTTTTTTTTTTTTTTTGCAGTGGGGTCTTGCTCTGTTGCTCAGGCTGGAGTGCAGTGGGACGATCATAGCTCGCTGCATCCTGAACTCCTGGGCTCAAGCTATCCTCCCACCTCAGCCTCCTGAGTGGCCGGGTCTATAGGTATGCACTACTATGCTTGGCTATTTGTATTTATTTATATATTTATTTTTTATCTATTTTCCAGATGAACTATAGCAGAAGACTGGCTTTTTTTTTTTTTTTTTTAAATATAGTTTCTGTATAGATGGGTTCTCACTGTGTTACCCAGGCTTGTCTTGAACTCTTTGCCTCAAGCGATCCTCCCACCTCAGCCTCTCAAAGTGCTGAGATTGTAAGCATGAACCACCATGCCCAGCACAAGCCCAGTTCAGTTGTGCCTTTCCAAGAACCATTTCCTTAATTAACTCAAATTTACACCTGTTTCTTCACTTTTATTGGTATTTGTGCCTCTCATATGATGTTTATCAGATTCCATCATATATTCTAGCTTTCGGAATTGTTTAATGTCTGCTGCTATGCTATTAACACTGTGACAAGTACTGTCACTAATTTTTTTTAACCTTTGCTTTAGATATAGTTTATTAAGTTATAAGCTTACATCATTTAATTTTTTTTTCAGAACGGGCATATGGAACATCATTTAATTTTTTAAAATACATATTTTATTGCATTTTAGGTTCTGGGGTACATGTGAAGAACATGGAAGATTATTGCATAGGTACATACATGGGAGTGTGCTTTGCTGCCTTCCTCCCCGTCACCTACATCTGGCATTTCTCCCCATGTTATCCCTCCCCAACTCCCCACCCCACACTTTCCCTCCCCTATTTCCCCCCCACAGACCCCAATGTATAATGCCCTGTGTCCATGTGTTCTCATTGTTCAACACCCACCTATGAGTGAGAACATGTGGTGTTTGATTTTCTGTTCTGGTGTCAGTTTGCTGAGAATGATGGTTTCCAGGTTCATCCTGTCCCTTCAAATGACACAAACTCATTGTTTTTGATGGTTGTATAGTACTCCATGGTGTATATGTGCCACATTTTCCCTGTCCAGTCTATCATCTCTGGGCATTTGGGTTGGTTCCAGGCCTTTGCTATTGTAAACAATGCTGCAGTGAACATTTGTGTGCATGTGTCTTTATAATAGAATGATTTATAATTATTTGGATATATACCCAGTAATGGGATTGCTGGATGGATTCCAGCAAATGGAATTTCTATTTCTAGGTCCTTTAGGAATCACCACACTGTCTTCCACAAGGGTTGAACTAATTTACACTCCCACCAATAGTGTAAAAGTGTTCCTATTTCTCCACATCCTCTCCAGCATCTGCTGCCTCTAGATTTTTTAATGATCACCATTCTAACTGGCGTGAGATAGTATCTCAATGTAGTTTTGATTTGCGTCTCTCTAATGACCAGTGATGATGAGCATTTTTTCATATGTTGTTGGCCTCCTATAGGTCTTCTTTTGTAAAGTGTCTGTTTATATCTTTTGCCCACTTTTGAATGGGCTTGTTTGTTTGTTTGTTTCATTTTTTTTTTTTTTTAAATTTAAGACGGGGTTTCACCATGTTGATCAGGCTGGTCTTGAAGTCCCAACCTCAGGTGATCTGCCTGCCTTGGCCTCCAAAGTGCTTGGATTACAGGTGTGAGCCACCACACCCTGCCATTTTTTTCTTGTAAATCTGTTTGAGTTCTTTGTAAATTCTGGATATCAGCCCTTTGTCAGATGGGTAAACTGCAGAAATTTTTTCCCATTCTGTTGGTTGCCGATTTACTCTAATAACTGTTTCTTCTGCTGTGCAGAAGCTGTGGAGTTTCATTAGGTCCCATTTGTCTATTTTGGCTTTTGTTGCCAATGCTTTTGGTGTTTTAGCCATGAAGTCCTTGCCTATGCCTATGTCCTGAATGGTTTTGCCTAGATTTTCTTCTAGGGTTTTTATGGTGTTAGTTCTTATGTTTAAGTCTTTAATCTATTTGGAGTTAATTTTAGTGTAAGGTGTCAGGCAGTGGTCCAGTTTCTGCTTTCTGCACATGGTTAGCCATTTTCCCAACACCAGTTACTAAATAGG